CGTCGCTGCTTCGATGGCGTCGATGGCTGGTAGGTACGTATGAGGAGTAGAAAGGTGAGAGATGGAGTGTTTCAGATAGCTCAGGAGGGTTTCAAGAAGAGAGGAGCTCAGGAGGTTTCAAGGAGGGAGAGATAAAGTTTTCAGAGACGGGGGAAAATCTGAAAATTTGTCGAGCGCGAATTCACTTAAGTGGCCTTTTTTTAGCGTGTTTTAAAAGACGACGCTTTTTATAAAAAAATCGTCATCTTTACATATAATAGACGACCCTTTTTAAAAAAAAAACCGTCATCTTTACATATAATAGACGACCCTTTTTAAAAAAAAAACCGTCATCTTTACATATAATAGACGACCCTTTTTAAAAAAAAAACCGTCATCTTTACATATAATAGACGACCCTTTTTAAAAAAAAAACCGTCATCTTTACATATAATAGACGACCCTTTTTAAAAAAAAAACCGTCATCTTTACATATAATAGACGACCCTTTTTAAAAAAAAAACCGTCATCTTTACATATAATAGACGACCCTTTTTAAAAAAAAAACCGTCATCTTTACATATAATAGACGACCCTTTTTAAAAAAAAAACCGTCATCTTTACATATAATAGACGACCCTTTTTAAAAAAAAAACCGTCATCTTTACATATAATAGACGACCCTTTTTAAAAAAAAAACCGTCATCTTTACATATAATAGACGACCCTTTTTAAAAAAAAAACCGTCATCTTTACATATAATAGACGACCCTTTTTAAAAAAAAAACCGTCATCTTTACATATAATAGACGACCCTTTTAAAAAAAAAAACGGTCATCTTTACATATAATAGACGACCCTTTTCATAAAAAACCGTAGTCTTTACATAATCCGTCATTCGTTTGTTTTAAAATTAAGTCGTTTATTATGATTTACAACGTCTTTAATTTCTTAATGCCGACGTGGTTTGTGGGTTTTATTAATAATATTTTATTCTATTTAATTCGAAATATTCATAATAAATTTAAAATAAATCCAAAAAATGCAACGTCAACTCCTATGAAGTCATTGAGATATTTTCTTCCCCCTTAAGCTTTAAAAAATTAAGTTTGAGTTATACAAATTTAAAATTACCACAAAAAAGAAAAATGTTTTCATGAATCACAACATCACTTCTACTTTAATGGTTTAGGGTTTAGGGTTTAGGGTTTAGGGTATAGATGTAATAAGCGTCATGTTTATTTATATTGTTAACGACGGTTTTTTTGTTTTCCGTCGATGATTATCGAAGAGCGCATTTCTAAACCATGACTTCTTTAAAATGACGTTGTACACACATAACGACGTCATAGTTTTTTAAAAAGCGACGTAAAAGGTTTTTCAAACGACGATATTTTTCAAACCGTCGTCTTTATATATAATAGACAACCCTTTTTATTAAAAAACCGTCGTCTTTACTTCATAATAGATGATCCTTTTTATATGAAAACCGTCGTCTTTACTTGATAATAGACAACCATTTTCATATAAAAAGGGTCGTCTATTATTAAGTAAAGACGACGGTTTTCATATAAAAAGGGTCGTCTTTACTTAATAATAGACGACCCTTTTTATAAAAAACCCGTCGTCTTTACTTATAATAGACGACCCTTTTTATAAAAAACCGTCGTCTTTACTTCATAATAGACGATCCTTTTTATATGAAAACCGTCGTCTTTACATATAATAGACGACCCTTTTTATATGAAAACCGTCGTCTTTACTTCATAAAAGACGACCCTTTTTATAAAAAAACCGTCGTCTTTACTTAATAATAGACGACCCTTTTTATAAAAAAACCGTCATCTTTACATATAATAGACGACAGTTCTTTCAAAACAACCATGTCTTCACCAAAAAAAGGACACTTAATTTTTAAAAGACGACGCTTGTCATACCTGCTATCGTCGTTTTTTGGTCAGATTTTAACTCTAAAGAAAAGCTTTTTAATAAGACGACGCTTTTTTATTTGTGTGTGTCGTTATAAAAAAATTCTCAACAGTATCTCCATTTTTTAGTTGTTTAAGTCACTTATCCACGACGGTTTTTTGTTACCGTCGTCTTTTTAAAAACAACGACGGTTTTTTGTTCTACCGTCGTCTTTTTCTGGTCGTCTTTTGCCCTTTTTGTAGTAGTGATTTTTGGATATGTTACGTGTACTTGAATAATTAGTATGCTCTTGTGTACTTTTGAATGAGAGAAACTTTTATTCATGTCATTTTCTATTGATCTATTTACCTAAATTTATTGTTTTTCAAAACTACAATATGTTAATGAACAAAAGGTTAATATTATCACAAAACAGAATATAAATCAAATAATTAAAAACACTTCAAATATACAAATTTTGGCGACCAACTAAGTAAGCTTTAGCGACCAAATAAGGTAGTCACCAAAACCTATCGGCGACGAACCAATCTATTTGGTCGCTCAATCCTTCTTTAGTTCGCGGCAAATTTTGGTATTTTCCCGGGAACGCATCTTTAAAGGCGACCAACTGATTACTTAAAGGCGACGAAACCAATTGGTCACATAAAGTTTTTAGCGACGAAAATTTGTTTCGTCGCCTTTTGTAGCATGGACTTTCAGCCACGAGCCTTAGGCGACCAAGTTGGCGACGACATAATAGCTTTTAGCGACCAAACGTGGTGGTCGCCACTTGTAGTAAGCTGGTGGTCCAAAGAAGTATGGAAATAAAAAATTTGGAGGATCAAAAGGTGGATCAACCTCTGGTAAGAAATTTTCCAATGATTCTGTTGTACCTGCTAAAAATGCTCAAAATCGTCCTACTTCTGAAAATTTGAGTCAAATCTCGTTTTTATTCCTCAAAATTCTTGGTGGTTTGACACTGGTTGTACAACACATATTACAAATTCTTTGTGGGAATTCAGAAGGGAGAGGATGCAAAGTAAAGAGAACTACAGAGTTTTTGTTGGAAATGGATCTAGATTAGTTGAGTCAGTTGGTAGTATTGAGTTAAAATTGTCTTCTGGTTTTCTTTTGTTTTTGAATAAAGTACTCTATGTACCTTTGATGAGAAGGAACCTAGTGTCAACATCTAGTCTTGTAAAAGATGGTTTTGCTTTCACTGGTGACAGTGAAAGTTTAAAACTTTTTCGAAATAATAAATTAAATGATTTGCTTGGTTAAGCTTTCCTGAGTGGTGATTTATGGCAAATTCAATGCACTGAAGTTCAAGAATGTTTCAACATTGAATATTCTGCACCCAAGAGAATGCTCACTAATGAAAACTTTTCTATGCTTTGGCATAGAAGATTGGGGCACATGTCAAAGGATAGAATGACTCGATTAATAAAACAAAACATTTTACCAAACTTGGATTTAAAGGATTTTGAAATTTGCATAAACTATTTCAAGGGTAAAACTACTAATACAAGAAAAATTGGAGCAACCAGAAGCAATGACCTTTTAGAAATCATTCACACAGATGTGTGGTCCATTTCCAACAAGAACCGTTTGTGGCAACTCTTACTTTGTTACATATATAGATGACCTCTCTAGATATACCTATTTGTACTAAATTTCTGAAATGTCACAAGTCTTAAACTGTTTTAAAATTTTTAAACTTGAAGTTGAAAATCAATTGGACAAACACATTAAAATTGTAAGGTCATATCGTGGAGGAGAGTATTTTGGTAGGTATACAGAGGCTGGACAACAGAAAGGAGCATTTGCTATTTATTTGCAGGAAAATGGAATAGTAGCTCAGTACACAACTCCTGGAACTCCACAACAAAATGGCGTGGCTGAAAGGAGGAACAGGACTCTTAAAGACATGGTAAGAAGTATGCTTACTAGTTCACAACTACCTGATTTTCTGTGGGGAGAGGCACTAAAAAAGGCAAATTATATTTTGAATAGAGTTCCTAGTAAATCAGTGCCTAATACACCTTTTGAAATATGGAATGGAAGAAAACCTAGTCTTGCTCACCTACATGTTTGGGGTTGTCCATCTGAAGCTAGAATCTACAATCCAGTTGAAAAGATACTAGATTCAAGAACAACTAGCTCCTATTTCATTGGAGGTTCTAAAAAGTCTAAGGATTATAAATTTTATTGTCCGCACTCTTATACTAGAATTGCAGGGAGTCATAATGCAAAGTTCATTGAGCATTCAGTTGCAGGACATACTAATTCTTTGAAGAACTACAATTTTGAAGAGATAGAGTCATCTGCACATGCCTCTACATCAAATGATCACACCCTTATGCTGCCCATCCCTTTTGTCCCTTTCAAAGCTCATGAAAACATTGCACCAGTTTCTACCAACACTCCTCAACCGCAAGATATTGCTCCACAAAATGCTGTACAACAAATTGACAATCTTTTTTACGTTGAGCAGCCTACTACACAACTTGAGTAGCCTACTGCACAACTTGAGCAGCACGATGAACCTTCTGTAAGAAGATCTCACAGGGCAAGAAAATCTGCAATACCAGCAAATTATATGGTTTATTTGTAGGAAGTAGAGTTTGATATTGGTGATGAAGATGATCCTAAGTCATTTGATCAGGCTATGAAGAGTGCTCAAGCTCCTTTATGGCACAATGCAATGTTGGAAAAGCTAAATTCAATGGTGAAAAATGGTGTATGGACCTTGACAAATTTCACTTTTTCCAGAAAACCCATAGGATGCAAATGGGTTTTTAAAACCAAAAAGGACTCACAAGGAAGAGTAGAAAGGCTAAAGGAACGACTGGTTGCTAAAGGATTCACACAGAGAGAAGATTTTGATTACACTGACACTTTTTCCCCAGTGTCCTCCAAGGATTCTCTACGTATCATTATGGCATTGACAACCCATTTTGATCTTGAGTTGCATCAAATGGATGTCAAGACTTCTTTTTTAAATGGGGATCTTAAGGAGGATATTTTTATGCAGCAACCTCCAGGATTTGTTGAAAGGGGGAAAGAGCCTTGTGTGTGCAAGTTGAACAAATCCATTTATGGTCTTAAACAGGCTTCAAGGCAGTGGTATCTCAAGTTCAATGAAGTGGTAACATCTTTTGGTTTTATAGAGAACATACTTGATGATTGCATCTACCTCAAAGTCGACAAATCTAGGTTCATTTTTCTGGTCTTATATGTTGATGATATTTTGCTCGCAAGTTCTGATTTTCAGTTACTACTTGAGACAAAGACTATGTTATCTAATAGTTTTGATATGAAGGATTTGGGTGAGGCTCATTATGTGTTGGGCGTTGAAATTATGAGAAACAGATCAAGAAAGCTTTTGGTGTTGTCTCAGCACAATTACATCAATAAGGTACTTAAAAGATTTAATATGGAGGCTTGTTCTCCTGGAGATCTTCCTATTAGCAAAGGTGATAGGCCTTCAAGGGACCAATGTCCTATGACTGAACAAGAGCAGGCAAACATGAAGAATAAACCATATGCATCTCTTTTGGGCAACTTGATGTATGCCCAATTCTGTACTAGGCCAGACTTGTCATTTGCACTCAGTGTATTAGGAAGGTTTCAAGCAAATCCTGGTGAACCACATTGGGTTTTAGCCAAGAAGGTGCTGAGATATCTAAAGAAGACTAAATCCCTTATGTTAATGTATGGCCATGTTGACAGTTTGGAGCTCACATACTATTCAGATTAAGATTTGGCTGGTTGTGTGGATGATAGAAAATCTACAAGTGGACATATTTTTCTTTTGGCTGGAGGTGCAGTCTCTTGGAGAAGCAAAAAGCAAAATTCTATATCTACATCCACTATGGAGGCTGAATTTATTGGATGTTTTGAAGCAACTAGGCAAGGATTGTGGATCAAGAATTTTGCAACAGATAGGAAACTAGTGGCAAATATTGACAAGCCTTTGAAGATCTACTGTGATAATAAGGCAGCCATATATTTTGCCAAGAACAACAAACGATCATCTGCTTCGAGAATTATGGATGTGAAGTATCTGTCACTTCAAGATAAAGTCAAGAAAGGTATTGTTGAAGTAGAGTACATAAACACTCACTCCATGTTAGCAAATCCTTTGACTAAAGCCTTGGTTGTGGGAGTCTTTCAAGATTTTGTGATGCATATGGGATTGCATGAATCTTTTGACTCGGTTTAAGTGTGGAGCAAGGTTATTTCTATAACCTATTTTGATTATTTTTGAGCTTTTCTTTTCTTTTTTGTTTTGTTAGATGATGAATAAGTTCTATTCTATTTAACACTACTACAAAAAGTGAAAAAGACGACCAGAAAAAGACGACGGTAGAACAAAAAACCGTCGTTGTTTTTAAAAAGACGACGGTAACAAAAAATCGTCGTGGATAAGTGACTTAAACAACTAAAAAACGGAGGTACTGTTGTATATTTTTTTATAACGACGCACACAAATAAAAAAGCATCGTCTTATTAAAAAGGTTTTATTCAGAGTTAAAATCTGACCAAAAAACGACGACAGCAGGTATGACAAGCGTCGTCTTTTAAAAATTAAGTGTCCTTTTTTTGGTAAAGACATAGTTATTTTAAAAGAACTGTCGTCTATTATATGCAAAGATGACGGTTTTTTTTAAAGAACTGTCATCTATTATATGTAAAGATGACGGTTTTTTTAAAAAAAACCGTCGTCTATTATGAAGTAAAGATGACGGTTTTTTTTTTTAAAAAGGGTCGTCTATTATATGTAATAGATGACGGTTTTTTTTTTAAAAAGGTCGTCTATTATGAAGTAAAGATAACGGTTTTTTTAAAAAAAGGGTCGTCTATTATATGTAATAGATGACGGTTTTTTTTAAAAAGGGTCGTCTATTATGAAGTAAAGATGACGGTTTTTTTTTTAAAAAAAGGGTCGTCTATTATATGTATAGATGACGGTTTTTTTTAAAAAAAGTCGTCTATTATATGTAAAGACGACGATTTTTTTTAAAAAAGGGTCGTCTATTATATGTAAAGATGACGGTTTTTAAAAAAAAAGCGTCGTCTTTTAAAACACGCTAAAAAAAGGCCGCTTAAGTGAATTCGCGCTCGACAAATTTTCAAATTTTCCCCCGTCTTTGAAAACCTTATCTCTCATTGACAAGCGTCGTCTTTTAAAACACGCTAAAAAAAGGCCGCTTAAGTGAATTCGCGCTCGACAAATTTTCAGATTTTCCCCCGTCTCTGAAAACCTTATCTCTTCCTCCTTGAAACCCTCCCGAGCTCTCTAAAACACCCTCGCTCGCTCAAACACTATATTATCTCAAATTCTCTCATGAACCTTTCAGAAAACCCTCTCTCACACATCGATGAAGCACATCTCCCTCTCCCTGTCCACCGAACTAGCCGAGATCGCCATCTCCGTCACGATGTTTAGGACACCGAGTTCGCCAAGATTGCCATCTCCATCGCACCATTCAGTCCATCGAGCTCGCCCCGTTCGCCATCTCCCTTCCTCGTCGCGACCATTTTTAAGCCCCCAAATGGATTCTCATCTTCCATTTTATGAGCTTTAGATTAGATTTTCTTCCTCGTTGACTAGAAAGGTACGAAGCTACTTTTCTAGGGTTAGCTTAGGATTCTTCTGATTCGATTTCAATTTTTATTTTTTCTTGTTTATGATGGTTGTTTGTCTGAGATATAGGGCTACGATTTGTTTGTTATTTAATTTCAGTGCATATTGATGTATTTTTTATCTTTGGATCTGACTTGATTTAAGCTGTATATAGTCCAGTGGTTGCATTTTTTTTTAACCTTTTTGCTTTTATTTTGTTCAAAAATTCTAGTTCATATGTTTTTTTATTTTGTATATCTCACTATTACATTATTTTGGCTTGTTAAGCAGTTTCCTAGGCCATGGAAGTGGTTCTAAAGAAGCTACTCCTAGTGGTAAAAGTTGAAGAAATGCAGAGGAAAATTGATGATGATGAATGTATAGCTCTGTATACATATGGAGAACTTGACTTGAAGGATAATTAGGTATAGGAATTTTGGTGTATTATTGTAATTAGGCTTGCAGCTTGCAGCTAGCGGCCTTAGAGTATTTTCATTTTTTAGATTTTATTTTGTTCTATTGTTCTCTTGATATTCTGTTTATGAAAGAAACAATTTTTGAGTATATATATGTATGGCGTGGGTAATAGCATATTTGAGTATATATTTCTGATACCATTTGAAACAAGAAAAAAAAACTAAAATGTAAAATTACGTCGGTTTTATAGTTAATAACCGTCGTCTTAGAGTTAATAAACGACAATATTTCAAGAAACCGTCGTCTTTACATTTAATAGATGATGGTTTTTAAAACAAACCCGACGTTTTGGATATAATAAACAACTTCTTTACATATAATAGACGACGGTTTTATGAAAGAACCGTCGTCTATTATATGTAAAGACGACGGTTAATTACCGTCGTAGTTTGACATTCAAAAAGATGACGCTCGATTTAACGACGGTTTGAAAAAGAAAAAAACAACGGTGTTTTCTCGTCATCTATTTCAATTTTTGTAGTAGTGTAAGAATGGTTGGCAGTTTATTTTTGTTTAGGTTTCTTCTCAGTTTTGTCTTGCTTAAGCTTGGATTTCCATTAAGGAAATAATTTTGGGAGTCTCTTTCGAGCTCCATTACTTGGACCAGAAATGTGGGAGTTATTTGGATACCTAACTCTTCACTTATCATCATTATGTCTGCAGCAATGTGTTCTAGTGTATGTGTATGTGATTTTAGGGTGTTGGCACAGTTGAATTTGTGTCAAGTTTTCTAAGGTCCTACATATACATTCGTTTGACAGTTGTTTTGGAAGTTACACTGATGTTTGAATAAATCCAGTGATCACTATTCCCTTGTTTTGGTATGATATGATACAATGTAATTAGGCTGCACTCATGTGGGAGAATGTAAGATGACTTATGTGAGTTAGCCTAATCACGTGTTATTATTATCATATTAGAATGAGATAATATGATTTATGTTTATCAGTTATTGTTAGACTTTCGGTTTTGACAGACTTTGGTTACTTATGTTTATTTTGACTAGGACTCAATCACTTAAGTATATTAGTTTTGTTTAAACTCTTACTCTATCTATAATAGGAGAGATAGTGTTAAGGTTTCTTCAATATAAAAGAATCGGTCCCTCCTCTCACAATACATGAGTTCTGTGGCATGCTTGACCTATTGATAGCAAGAACATTCTGGTGTTGCAAAGAGAAGAAGATCATTCCCATAGTTGTCATGTCTTCTTCACTGAGTATGAATCAATCGATAAGTACGCTTTATTCATGTTGTAATTCATGTGTTTATTGTATTTAACTTCAGTTTTACTTACATTTTGCACTAGAGAGGGGTCCATGGGATGTTGATGATCATGGATTTGACCAGCCACAATGCGCAAAAGCCCAGATCAAGATCAATCCAACAGCTCAAATCCAAACATAGCAAGTGAAGGGCTAGGGGGCGAGAGGGCGAGAAAGAGAGAGGAAGAGGAGAAAGAGATCTGTTACATTGAACGAGTAGGTCACACAAAGAGAGAGAGAGAGAGAGAGAGAGAGAGAGAGTGAGAAAAAGTGTTAAGTGGCCACTAAGTATGTATTTATAAGTTATATTTGCAAAATGTGTGGGTAAAGATGGTATTTGCATATTAAATTTGGGTTGCGGTGGCATTTAGAGGCATGATATTAATTGCATTACTCCTTATAAACATGAAAAGGAATTGTGATGATGTGGTGTGTTAAATGTTAAAATATGTGATAATAGGCTGTGGGTGGGTGTGACCATACTTATGTTCCATGTAAGTTAAGAAAACAGTTAGAATAACTTTATATTTTATTTTATATTATACAAGTTAGAATACAAAGTTGAGATAAGTAAGCATACAAAATACACACGCAACGCGCAACCCATAAGGATAAAATTGTCCAAAATCTAGATCAGATAAAGGGCTTAAAAAGAAAACAAAAAGTTAATGGATATTTAAGTAAATAACATGTGGGCAAAAATCAACAGATGACAAAGACCAGTAGCCTAGCTACCTAATCCTCCTCCCTCCTTCCCACATTACAGATTCACAGGCGCTCCTCCCACCTAACCTCGTCTCCAACAATGCTACGTGTGGACTAAACTACCCTTCCATCTATCCATCCCTGGACCAGAACAGAACAGAACAGTGGACCCTCCAGAAAAACAAAGGATGCCATGCCACCACCAACCAAAGACCAAACTGTATGTCATATGATATTCATCATCTGCAATGCAAAAAGTCTTCCCACCCACTCTCATCCAGGAAAAACCAAACAAACGACAGCCAACAATGAATGGGAATTGAATTGCTTTGGTTCTATCCTCTATACACAAAGCAAACCACCAAAGGCCAGAGAAGGAAACTAAGAGCATAGATATATACCACAATTGTAACAACATATACACTGATATATATATTTATATATAATATATTGATATAGATATGGCTTCCCGGTCCCAATCCAAGCCATCATCAGCACCACCACCACCATCACCGCGGTCAAAGATGGAGGCTTTGGATGTTCCCCTTCATGAAATTGGGTTCGAGGTTGAAGAGGTAACCCCAAAAAAGGTCTCCGGTCACCTCCATGTCACCCAAAAGTGCTGTCAGGTCATCATCTTCTTTCTTTCTTTCTATCTTTCTTTGTTTGTTCATATGATGAATCTTTTTCCTGTTGAAAGTCTAAAAGAAGATGTTAATGAAATAAGTAATATGACTAACTGTTCTTTGCTGCTGAGACCAGCCTTTCAAGGTGTTGCATGGAGGGGTATCAGCTCTCATAGCTGAGGCTCTGGCTAGCATGGGAGCCTACCTGGCCTCTGGTTTACAAAGGGTGGCTGGGATTCACCTCAGCATCAACCATTTGAAGCGTGCTGAGCTTGGTGACCATATCTTTGCTGAAGCCACGCCTGTCAATCTTGGCAAAACCATTCAGGTTCCTCTGCTCTTCACCGTCAAATTCCTATCCTCCTTGTCTTCTTAATTATAATCCATCTCCCGGGCTCCTAGTCCTCCCCAGTCTTCATCATCAAGTATCACTTCAATTAACTGTAATTACAACTGCTAATACAACAATAGGTGTAGTGTAGGTGTCCAAGAAAAAAATGACATTTAGAAAGTGCATACGGTTTTATCTTCTCTACAACATTATCCACATAGGGTCATGTATTTTCCATCTCATTCTTTCCATCACTCCATTTACACAAATTTCCAACTGGAAATATAATAATCATGTTGGCACCATCCAGACTATCCTGCCATCATTTCATACTATGGAAATGTGAATGCCAATACCGAATTATCCAAAGCAGGAAGCAACTAGGGTGCCAATGCCCTCCACATTGGTTTTTTATTTATTTATCTTTCATCAATTTATCATTTCATTTACTTAATATATTAAATAAACAGATTATATCATTCAAAGTTGTTTTGATTTTTGGGCAGGTTTGGGAGGTGAGACTGTGGAAGATTAATCCTTCAAACTCAGACATCAAATCCTTAGTATCATCATCAAGAGTTACTCTTTTATGCAACATGCCTGTGCCAGAGCATCTAAAAGATGTCGGTGATGCTCTGAAGAAGTTTGCCAAATTATAAGTTTTGTTGTACCCTATTCATGTTCAACTCTTGTTGATATTGAACCAATTCAGAAATTAAAGACACTTTGATTTTAGCATTATAATTCAAACAAAAGATGAGGTTGTCAAACAAGCTTGAAGTAAGCATTTATGCCATGTTTTCAATGTGTTCTGCACTAAACAGAAGGAACTGCCTGAGCCTAGCTTTGGCATCAACGTGGTTCAAGGAATGAGACACATTCACAACCCAATTAGGTAGTTCAAGAACAAAAACTAACAATCTAAACAGTTTCGGTTTCCCAGTATTGAAACCGAGGAAGAGTTCAACAAAAAGCTTCCATGATCATCCTGAGTCCTGACCCAAAAGTTCTAATCATTGCACAAATTGTTTTGTATTAGCTTCACAAATAAGAACTGTAACTTGTTCATAAACATACAAATACTCAAAATTGAAACTTGATTAAGCTTACAAATATACAATTTAGAGCATGCATACACCAAGTTGAGGTTGAGTGAGAAAACCTACATGACTACATATGAGGCACATGAACTGAATCATCAAAAAATTGTCACTTTGAATCGTTTTCCCACCGGGATGTGGAAATACTTTTCCTTGAAACCGAAACAAATAAAACTAGTATGAGCAAAAATATGTGTTTAAGCAAGGTAAGAGAATTGGGAAAGCAAGCAATACCAGTAAGTACCTGAGACTGGCAAGCTGTTGGGTCAATTCGTTGATCTCAAGGCCAGAGAGTTTGAGAGAAGACAGAGTTCCAGGCACCTCTTGGGACACCACATTGGATAATTTTCTCACAGCAGCTTCCAATCTTCTCAAAGCCTGAAATCGCAATAAGCTTGATTGCCACATGCATTGATAAAGTGATTGCATTTCTCAAAATTCAAAGCTAAAGTGAGAAAGTAACATACGTTGATAGTTGGGATGCAAATTACAACAACGGAGAAAAGCGCAGCAAAAGCCTGCGGGTCCAGCCAGTAAAACGATAAACAGGGTTCAGTTGCTGGTTAATTTATTAATATATGTTTGATTGCAATATTGTAAAAATGTCGAAATGGGTTACCATGGAGAGGACGAAGAGGAGAGAGAGAAGGCCCAATTTGGCAGTGGGTCGAATCCGCAGAGCTTTGACGTGTTGTACGGACGGAGCAATGGCATAAGAAGACGACGAAGAAGAAGAAGCAGACAGCAGCGGTTGCGTTTGGGTGGATGGGGTAATTGAATTGGTTTTTGAAAGTTTCGGTAGTTGCAGCGTCGATACGGATGGAATATTGGGTTTCTGGGAAACTACAGAGGCAGCTCTCTTGCTGCCATGAAAAGGGTTCCCCTGTTTCATCGCCGTGGCCACTAGCGACTGAGCCCACATCTCGTTCTCTCCACTGAAACTATCTGTTTCTCATCAGAAATCAAAATGTTGCAAAAAAAGATAAAAACGAAAATGGAACGACGTCGTGCTTCATTAACTCACATTTTAAATTAAAATCGGGCTTTTTCTCCAGCTGTGCATCAACATAACATCAAAGAAAGAACCCAAACCCAAATGGCAAATCTCTCTTTTATATTATTTGGTATTGAAAAAAGAGTTTTTATCAAAACTAGCCAAAATTTACCCATATATGTTCAGAAATATTAATTTTTATAAAAAAAAAATATTCAAAAGTAGCCAAAAACTCAATGAAATAGACTCAAATGCCCTCAAAATTAAAACCCACATAAACCTAAAAAGCAAAAAAGTGTTTAGGAGGCTAACTCAAAATCAGAGATGATAAACCAAGGTAGTTGGTGTGAGTGGTTCGGCACTCTCATTCCTTAAGAGAGGTCAGGGGTTCGATCCCTGCTCTTGTACGGAGTTACCACTTTGGCCAACACTTTACCCCTTACGGGCCGACCCGGTGTGAGTGAGGATTAGTCTGGGTTGTGGTTAAGGCTTAAGGTGCCACCCATAGTTGGGGCCTATCTAGGACCACCCCATGGTTCAGACCAAAAAAAAAAAAAAAAAAAAAAAAAAATCAGAGATGATACTCCAAATTTTTTTTTCTTTTTTCGCCAAATAAAAAAGAGATATGGTAAATATCAAGTTTACATCATGTGCGACAACCATGTTGGTCCAACATGGTCTCAATTGCACTCCACCAACTCACCCGAGAAACAAACGCTGCCCCCAAATAAGCCAACTTTTTATTTTGATCCTCAAACTTCAAAGATACCCATGGAAACATAGTCCAGAAACCAAAACTACAATTTTATTATTGGCTTACCAAGAAGCAGATGACAAATTTCGGATTACAACATCCAAAATGACAAGATCATGCTATGGATTTGGTTCGGTTGAAAGACAAACAGGTTTTAAACCTTCAAAATCCTCACATCATACACTGGTTCAAATTGCCCTGCGTCCCAAGAGCTAGGCTTCGCTGCATAAGTAATATTAAGGTCTTCTTGTTGGGTGTAGCTTTTTTTCCCCCTTACAGTGATACTAATGAAAGTGTATCCACTAGCAATTAGGATTGTCAATACATGTCACTACTCATAAATGACATCCGACATACATTTGGTGCTCGCCATGGCTGCAAAATTCAATGGTTTTGAGCTCAGTTTTTTTTTGTTGGGTGTAACTTTGCTTTTGAGGTTTATGTGGGTTTTAAATTTTGACGGTATTTGAGTCTATTTAACTGAGTTTTTTGCTATTTTTGAAAGTTTTTGTAAAAAATGACATTTATGAAAGTATGGGGTAAATTTTGGCTACTTTAGATAAAAACTCTTGAAAAAGATCAATCTGTCTTTCTTAAATTTATGTGTTTACCTTATAACAACGCAAAAGCAATCACCTAGTAAACTCCGAATAAGTGCATTCATTTTTGTTTCGTACCCTTTTGTTTTTTCAACTGTTGACTGTAAAATCTTTTTGGTTTAACAAGTGGATTATTTGAGACAAAATAATCGAGGGCCAAATTAAGCTAGTAACAAAGTTGTCCTTTTGGTGTGTTTGTGCGATGGCGTGTTAGCTATCACAGTCACTCCTGGCCATGACAGCGATGAGTTGGCGTGGTGGATGGATTGATTAATAGCACCTTGGATCCTGACTTTGTCAAGCGATTATGGCCGAGTAAGGAACAGGTCTCGGCCATTGAGTTCTCAACTTTGGTAACAAAGTTGTTATTGCCATAGCTCTAATTCGAGTGCTTGTACGATTGCCGTGTTCGGCGAAGAGTTCAACTGTCAATTTGATCTCTCAAGGCCTCTTTGAATTATAAACTAAAACAAAGATTTAAATGAGAAATCCGGGTGGTTTAGATGGTGCTCAAATGAAAACTTTAGTAATCAAAGCTGTTTGTTGATATATTTAATGTGAACGATTACAATGATGGTGCTTAAGAAAACTTTGAATAACCCACAAAGTTTTCTTGGTGATATGGCTACGTGGTTCCTAAGAAAACAATAAAATTCTAAAAGTCTAATTTTGAAAACATTTGAGCAGCATTTTGGGTTGATTTTGTTTGAGATGTTGAGTGTGTAAAAATGAAGTATAGGCCTCCTATTTATAGACAAATACTTAACGACTTCCAAATATGCCGCCCTTAAAAAAAATCGAACCTAGGCGAATGATACCTTGATAATAGAAAAGAAGAATTTGGGATTTTAGGGTTTCAAGAGAATAAGGAAGAGAGGATCGTGAGAAGGAATAAAGCTTTGTGATTATGTATTCTGATTTCTTAATCGATAAGCAAACTAACATAGTACAATATTTTATATCTCCTAATACAGAGAGAACAAACTTAACAGCTAACTCTCACTAATAGAAAGCACGTACACAGCACAACTAACTCTCACTAACAGAAAGCACACTACTACAAAAAGTGAAAAAGACGACTAGAAAAAAACAACGGTAGAACAAAATACCGTCGTTGTGTTTAGAAAGACGACAGTAACAGAAAACCGTCGTGGATAAGTAACTTAAACATCTAAAAAATGGAGGTTCGCTTGAATATTTTTTAAAAACAACGCACCCAAATAAAAAAGCGTCGTCTTATTAAAAAGGTTTTCTTCAGAGTTAAATTTTGACCCAAAAACAACGACAGTAGGTATGAAGACACCGACGTAGAAAGTAAATATGACGGTTCAACAAAACAGCCACCGTGTTAACTCATACATAAACACGACCAACTGTTCTTAGTTCGAGTCATATAATATTACGGAATACACGTCGGTATATTACAAAACAACGTCGTGTTAATTAAATGTACTACGACGGTACCTACAACACTACTGTTGTATAGAGTAGTAGAGAACCACTACAGCAGAATGGTAGATAACGACGTCTAAATTAGAATATCCACGTCGTTTTTATTATGAATCAAGACGTATTAATGTTGACACGACGACGGTTGTAAAAAAGTAATAACCACGTCAGTTTGTTCAATTAGCGACGTATATTCTTTATGTACCACGTCCTGATGTTAAAATTACCATCGTATTTATTCGATTTATAAGTCTGCCTTCTTTGTAAACCGCCGTCTTAATTTTTATTGCTTTTTAAGATTTTTTTATTTTTTTTTATTTTGGTAGCCTACGACCGTAGATCAACAAAATGACAAGAACTGAGGAAAATCACGACGGTTTATATAGAAAACCGTCGTCACATGAAAATTAAAATGAGAGCCCAAGAGGTATGAAATCTTACCATTGAGATATTTGGATCTTGATCATAATTGAACCACCAAAGTGAGAAAGACAATATTTTAAATACACAAAATCCAAAACGAAACCAGAACTGAACTGACGACGGCAAACTTTGAGAAAGACAATGTTTTGAAAGTTCACAATGTGTGTGATTTGGTGTCTTTGAGATACACCAAAACACATGCATCGTTAACATCCAAATTATTGTCTTTGAGATGTGAGAGAGAGTGATGATGTATGTGTGTTTGTGAGAGAGAAAGACGAGCCTCCAGAAGAAGTTGGAACCCTAAATGAAAACTGAAATTGAAAGAAAGCGTCAAATTTATACAATAAATCTTCAAAAACCACGACAGTCCTTATATAAATACCGCCGTCGAATTGTACAAAACCACAACGGTTATTTATTCAATAACCACGTCAGTTTTTTAGTTATAGCGATGTTAAAATAAGATTCCCACGTCGTAATTTGCCGACGTCTATTTCTTACACGACGTATAATATTTAGTAATAACCATGTCGGTTTGTTCAATTAGCGACATATAATATTTATTTACCACGTCCTGAAGTTAAAATTACCATCGTATTTATTCGATTTATACGTCTGCCTCCTCTGTAAACCGCCGTCTTAATTTTTATTGCTTTTTAAGATTTATTTATTTTTATTTTGGTAGCCTATGACGGTAGATCAACAAAATGACAAGAACTGAGAAAAATCACGACGGTTTATATAAAAAACCGTTGTGACAGGAAAATTAAAATGAGATCCCAAGAGGTATGAAATCTTACCATCGAGATCTTTGGATCCTGATCATAATCAAACCACCAAAGTGACGTCAGAAGGAGTCGTTGAATTTGAAGGCCCCAAATTCCCCTTCAAATGGTTTCTAGTGGACACTTTAGCTTCTATCCATTTGAAATCTGAAATGTATAAGAAGCTAAAGTGACTATTCAGATTTCAAATGGATAAGAAGCTAAAGTGTCCACATTTGCTTTCAGAAAGACAATTTTTTAGAAGTTTATGATGTGTGCGTGTTTGTGTCTTTCAAATACACAAACGCGAACGCACATGAACATCCAAACTATTGCCTCCTGTTGGGGTCTTTTTCCATCGGAAGGCTCATTCGGGCTTGTTGATTCTCGGACTGCCATAGAATGGTGGATCAAGCTTTCGTTGCCCCTTTTTTTGAGTTAGCGAGGACTAGGTCCAAAGCATCCCGAGGGAAAAGCATGTCCCAGGGGAGTACTCTGTTCTTCTTCCAGCGGCTGCGTGTTTGGTGCTGATGTTTCCGGTAGCTTGACGAAGAGTTGAAGATGACTTGCTAATGTTTTCAGCAGCTTGAAGAAGAGTTGAAGATGACTTGCTGATGTTTCCGGCAGCTTAACGAAGAGTTAAAGATGACTTGCTGATGTTGATATGAGATTATATGAGCTTGGCATGAGAGCTTGGAGTGTGGGAGCTAAAGATCCACAAGTTTGGCAAATGAGAATGCATGTGCTTGGCTTGGTGTTGGATATGCTTGAGTTTGGGTGTTGATAATTTGTTGTTTGTGGCTCTGGCTATGGGGAGTTAAGAGTTTCAAGAGGAGGATGAGAGGAAAAGGTTCAGATTTAAAGGCTATGGTGTTTATAGCTTGGAAGGAAGGAAAAGCTTGGAGTTATGCTTGGTGAGGCTTTATAGAGAAGATGATGGATTTCAAGGAGAGAAGGTTATGGTTGGGG